CAGAACGCGGATTTAATTTATGAATTTATGTTTAATTTATTTTACTTATTTTAGTGCCAGTACACCGACACAAATGAAAGACTTTGACAATGTTCCTTATTTATATACAATAGAATAAAACAAAAAATTTGTTGTAGAACCAGCGGCTGTAATGGAACACAGCACTTTGGAAGGTGTTATTCATTTATGGCCACAACATGTGTTGAAAAGTTTCGAGTAATGAACCTTTTTCTGATACAATTGTATTGAAAGCTTCACTGGTTCAGAGCGCTTCACTTAGCCATCACTACTAGGGTGTTTTTATGTAGTTGATAGAGTGTTTTATGTAGCTGATATGGAGTTCATTTTTATTTATTTTTTTCTAGTTCTAAATGGTTGCTAAGGCGTTGCTATGCAGTTGAAGCATCAAAGTGCAGTTGAAGCATTTTTTTGAAGCGTCAAAGTGATAGTTGCATAGACTGTCAATGGAGGGACCGAAATTTTCATTTGTGTTCCGAAGATGAACGAAAGTCTTATGGATTTGGAAAGACATGAGGGTGAGCAAATGATTATAGAATTTTCATTTGTGGGTGAACTATGCATTTAAGGGTGGTTGGTATTGTGTTCTGTGTGGCTGCTGGAGAATTCTAAGTGGGTTCTAAAGTATTGCTATGCAATTGCTAGTGAGCACTGGGTGGTTGCTAGAGTGTTGCTAGGTGGTTACTATGGTGTTCTGGGTAGTTGCTATGGTGTTCATAGATCAGTGATGGACAAATTCAGCCCTAGAGGGCCACTGTCCTGCAGAGTTTAGTTCCATACCTGATCTAACACACCTGCTTGTAATTTTCAAGCAATTCTTCACTTTTAGATGCAAACTTCCCTAAACCCTTTCCCTCAGGGGAATCCCCACTGCAATTTTGAAGTGCGTTCCGTGAACTGGACGAGGACAATTTATATGGACAGACCCTCGATCCCTCAATTTTGACAGAGGGAGTGAGTCTACTTCATATGTACACTTCAGGCCGCTCTATATACTAAAAGGCAACACGATTGTGATGTCACCACAGATGACGTTTAATTTATCCCAACCCAAAACATCTTCCAAAATGTAAATAATAAATAAGCTCCACAGCGGATTTCAAGTGATCAAGGACTTAGGACGCTCCAATTCAGCCTATTGTAAGGTTCTGCCAGGGGTGGGCAATCATGCAATGTTATCAATGATATACATCTGAGTCAACATGATGGAGGGATGTTAGTGAGGGAAGGGCATAAAAAACAAAATGTAACGCAGCCATGTTAGATTTTTCAGGTGTGTTTGATTTGATAGCTAAACTCTGCAGGACCGTGGCCTTGCCCATTCCTGTTTTAGGGGATGATAGTGTTCTTGATGATTCTAAGGCATTGCTGTGCAATTGCTAGTGAGTGCTGGGTGGTTGCTAGAGCATTGCCAGATGGTTGCTATGGTTTTTGGGGTCTTTGCTAAGGTGTTTCTAGATCAGGGATAAGTAATATCAGTCCTGGAGTGCCGCTGTCCTGCAGAGTTTAGCTCCAACCCTTAAAAAAACTCACATGCCTGTAGCCTTAGTGATCCTGAAGACATTGATTAGCTTATTCATGTGTGTTTGATTAGGGTTGGAGTTATACTCTGCAGGACAGTGGCACTCCAGGACCGACATTGCCTATCTCTGTTCTAGATGGTTCAAGACCAGGGGTGTCCAATCCAGCTCCTGGAGGGCCGCTGTCCTGTAGAGTTCAGCACCAACCCCAATTAAACACACCTGAACCAGCCAATCAAGCCGTTACTAGGCATATTAAAAATACTTTCAGGCGGGTGTGCTGAGGCAAGTTAGAGCAAAACTCCTGGACAGAGTTTGGACACCCCTACATGTGTCAAACGCCGCTCCTGGAGGGCCGGTGTCCTGCAGAGTGTAGCTCCAACCAGCTCCAAAACACCTGCTTGGAAGTGTTTTGCAACCCTGAGAACCTTGATTAGCTGATTAGGGTTGGATCTAAACTCTGTAGGACAGTGGCCCTCCAGGAACTGAATTTGACACCAATGTTCTAGATGTTCAAATCCCTAACCCTAAGTATGAGCATTAGTAATAGTGATGTTTGCTCAGGAAAGCTTGCAATAAAAAGAAGAAAAAGACAGAGGTTGTTTCCAAAATCAGTGTTGGGATACTTTGAGCTGGGCTTTAATTAGATTATGGTCTTATGAGGGGAGTTGATGCTTGCCTGTTTCTCATTAAGAAGGAAGAACAACATCATTAAAGCACAGACATCATGAATCATTCTCTTCTGCCCTGTCACAATGCAACATAGAGATAAAGCCATAAAGAGAGAGAGAAAAATAGGACTAGAAAAGCAACAATTATTGAAGGATCTATGAATCCTGAAATATATCTAGGGTTACATATAGCTCAACCTCACGTTTATCTATTTATTCTCTCTGTGCTTGTTCCATTTATTTGTGGGGCTCAGTCCCCTTTGTTGTCATGGCGATGTGCCAGGTCATCCTTATCAGCGGTGCTTTGGTTTCGCTATCGTCTCAGAGGCACTGCCCACACGACCTTGTGACCCCTCTCATGTCTGCCGCAGATTTACAGACCCAGTATGACAGGCCGTCGAGCGGGGACACCGATCCACAGAGACAACACACACACGCACACATACACGCTCTGCCTGCAGACATACACACTCATGCTGAAGCCTAGAGACACACACAAATTCCTCACACACACTTGGGCCAACGGATTCAGAATGACTCATATCTGTTCCTAAATACACCCATAAATGCCTAAATATACAGACACAAACACATTTAGACTGACACAAAATAATAAATATTAGCATACACAAATGAACATGCGCACAGGCCAGATTTATAACGTCTGTTGCAAAGATCCAAGGTTTGGACACACGTCTCAATTAAAATGGAAAACTGTAAATATAAAATTAAAGCTAATTTAAAATATTATTAAATACTATAATATTATAAACAGTAAATAATAGTAAAATAACACTGATGCCAATAATTATTTTCACGTTATGGTCAATAACTGATACATTTCTTATATAATTATATATAAAAAATAAAACACTAAAACTAAAATCAGTCATTTTAAATGCTGCAAGTGAATTTTCGCATTACAAAATGATAATGTATAGTATGTAAAATCAATATTAATTTTGGAACTGGGTTAAGACTACTTTGAAAAGTGTTTTTAATATTACTTTTGCTGTCACCTACAATTAATATAAATGTAAAAATAGCAGAACTAAGTATGCACAATTTTAAATATCCAATACTAAATGATACTGATAGATTTTAAAAAGTTTACCATCAACCGATAACTAATATGGTACTGTAATATCAGATTACTTTTCTTAGGGAATTAATTATTATTAATTAATTCAGGTTTTGAACGGAATCGAATCTGAAAATTCGAAGCCAACTGATTAGAACTTATTTCAAATTTGATAGTTTACACTTTATCAACGGTCGTCCAGCGAGACGTTAACCTCAGTATATTTTAACAATTTGAATATTTGTATTTTCCCTGGCCACGGGTAATACGTGCTTTGATAAGTTATAAGCTACGAGCAAGGTAACAAGATCTTGGCAAGGTTCAACTTTAAAATTACAACGCAAGACAATGATTCTTTATAAATGGACCTTGTTTGGCTGCTTGAGGGAATTCCGTTGCTGATTGGTTGCTGGTCGGGCGTCAGGATGACGTAGTTTCTGGGAAAGCCTTCCTGGAGAACGAAGGTTGCCTTGTGACGTATCCACAGCTTATGGGGGTCTGTTTCACAAGACAGAGACCTTACAGTACCACCGTGCATCACATACTCTCATGGAAAACTGACCCAAAATACTTATACAGGAAATCAGGAAATGTGTCAGTAAACTAAAATTCATATTTCCATAATTATAGAATCGTATCTTTTTTTCCTGTAACTACACTGTCAGGGTAAGAGACCTTGACCGGTGTCCATACAGTGTTGCTCACACAGTATGTGTGATTCGTGAGAAGGGGTTTTGGTTGTGACATCCGCTTATAAAAGCACACAAATCATATGATGATACAGTTGGGTTTACAGTAGCTGACACATCTGTTGTTGAAGCGTACTCCAGTGTTTGATGTACCAAGATGCCATGCCTAATAATAACCTTACAATACAAGTTTTTCTTGTCAAAGTGGTTTCATATTTCAGGATTACACTTTTATGTGGATTAAATAAATGTTTATGTTACCCGCTAATTAATTTGCACCAAACTTTCTTTAAAAAAACTTGTTTAAAACTAATTAGTGCATTGAAGGTGTGGGCTGGTGAAAAATCTGAATTAGTTGACGCTTATAAATGCATAAAAAAATGAAAATCAGTTAACAATCATGGGGACACCTCAGTTTTAGTTCACTCAACCACAATTTATTCTTAAACTTGAATGTATGTTAATTACTGTATTTTTAATTGCATAACACATATCACCTGCCCAAAGTGTATACACATTGCCAAAAATTGTGCATATAAAAAGAGACAAATTCCAATATTTTAGCTATAATATCAGAGTCATGGGTTTGACTCCCAGGGAATGTATTAACACCCTTTTAGAAAAAGAAAGTGTGCTTAATTGTACTGAATGTGCATAATATATTAATGAAATAAAGGCACTTAAGTATACTTAGAGTAAATACACTTCCAAAATCAACATATCATTTCAACATAATATTTACACTTTCACCCTCCTCTAATTTGAACAAACACACAGTGAAAAAGTAATATATGTTGTCTTATGATATCAAGAAGACAAATTATTAAAGTATGTCCTGAAAGGTAATTCCAAATTCTTTAACATATTTGTAAAACCCGGTAAAGTTTCTAATACATAAAAGAGTCAATCCTCTTAAAGTTCTGTGCACCCAGACTAGTTACAATGTAAATGTATTGAAACTGAAGGCTAGTGTAGATGTAGCTAAAGGTAAAAGAATATATATTGGTACTTACACATCAAACTTTAAGTTCTGTCTTTCTTCAAAGAAGTAGTCCAATATGAATTTTCGCACAAAATCTGGGTTCAAAGTGTTATCAATAACTTCCGTCCGCCCAAACTGAAAAAAAAAAAGAAAGGTAAGTTGAAATTATTTATATCAACATTTTCGCTCGGAACTGAAATCTATAGAGCCAAAAGCCATAGTATGTATAACAGTGGTCCTTAACAAACTTCTAAAATGGACTTAATGAATTATAAATAATGAATTATTTAAAGGGGTCATATATGATGCGATTTCAATTTTTCCTTTCTCTTTGGAGTGTTACAAGCTCTTGATGCATAAAGAAGATCTGTAAAGTTGCAAAGACTAAAGTCTCAAATCCAAAGAGATATTTTCGTACCTGTATGAACGAATAGACAGTGCAACCTTCTTGGCACAATACATAATTCTGTCTTTTTTACCCCAAATGTAGCGATTATCCCCTGCTAACAGCGGGAGCCACAACGGTACGCGCAATAAGTCAATATTCACTATTAACCAAACGCTTTTCACCTGTCTCAGCATCTCTCACTGTTTATACTCACTTACACACTTTTAATCCGTAATAGAGAGCATGTCACACCTGCCTCAAGACCTTTTACCGTTTGCACTCCACTTGATGCACTTAAGCAAACAATTTACAGTATGTGGAAAATAATGTGTTTTTTTAACCTTAAACCGCATAAACGCATTTCATTACACCAAATACACAAAATAATGTTCTTTTTAGCAGCATCATATGACCCCTTTAAAATGATTTAAATTAATCCAAAACAAGCATTAAAATAAGCTAAAACAACTAAAAATCAAGATATCTCTATGTACTCTTACCAAAAGTTTTTACTTTGAAAAAAAAACAAAAAACAGGGATCTCACAGTCGTGAAAAGAATGAATAAGTGAGGGATATATGAGGTAGAGTGATTTTAATTTAAACCCAGAAAAAACATTTACATTAATAAAAAATAAATAAAACACAGTTTTTATAATGAATATGAATTTTAGAAGTTATCCCAAGCTCTAAAATATTTTATCAAAATATACATACATATAGACGTAACATTACGCATGTAATTAAAATCAAAACAAGATACAACACATATTTTGAACCAGTTTCAGTTCTAATTACTTTACATTAGCCAAGCATATATGAAAGTTTCATAAATCCAAATTGACAAGTCTTTTTTTTTTATTCCTGAGCTTTTATTTTCTGTATCAAAGCAAGATTTTGTTTTAATGTCCTAAGCGCAAATACAAGTCCCTGTTTACTGTGTACACCTCCCACATTCCTGCTACCTTCAACGTCTTTTATATGGAGCTCAAAGAGGCACATCGTTGTGAGGTTGAGGGGTGCGTTGAAGCCTTAATGCGATGTTAAAGGGACTTAACGTTTTAATGAGCCGACTTGAAAAGTGGGCCGGAGTTGTCTTGATATGAGAGTGGGTAAGAATGTTATTACATTCCCTGGGTGGCTTATCATATTTCACCAGCTAGTGATTGAAGTTAATAAATACATGGCCCTCTTAATGGTGCTTTAGAGAGCCTGATATTTCCTCTGATTAGCTGGGAAGGCAAAAATATGAAGAACTGATAGACACAGAAAAAATAAGAGCGCCAAAAATAATTGATATTACTATTCTGAGAATATTCCAAGCCTACATTTACATGTATGAATATTTATGAGACCAAGGGTCTGCTGGGCCCTTCAAGGGGTCGACATGACTGGGCCAGATTGTTCCGCTCACCTCTCGCCACTCTTTGTTGCCAATGCCTTGGGTGTACAGCACACAGACTGTGGAGAGCAAAGAGAGAGAGACAGAGATTGTGTTACACAAAGGCAAAGAATTTTTCAAATGCCAGAAGACCTGTGACACTCTTAACTCAGATGCACTTTGTGTAGTGTGTAATCTTATGGTCTACTGTGTTTGTAGAGAAACAGCTTAGAACCAGAGCGGTGGAATGCGATGATATAAAAATCTCACTGGATGAGTTACAAAGCTGTTGTAAACCAGCCAGTATCCAAACCTCTATTCATTTCTTTCACAAAAGGAGATATTTTGAAGAACACTGGTAAGAAAAAAGAAAGTCTGCAGATTTATATAGGATACTGGTAACTAAGCAGATATTAGTGGTCTAGAAAAAAAAAATTTTTTATTCTACATAAGGGTAGATACCCTTATGGTGATCACCATATTGAGATCACATGACCAGCTCAGTACTACTCAGTTTATCACAGTAACCACCCTATTAAATGCCACTTTAGATTTGTAGAATAAATCAATCCATGTCGTTGTTATGTATATTAGTGTGAATAGAGTATTTCTAAAGTGGCATTTGAAAATGCTTGCTTTTGTATGATCGTTGCATCCACACCTGTAGATGTCAATATAAAGTAGGATGGTGCAAATATATTATTAATATATCATGATCCTTTTTCTCATGATATTGCATTGATAGTTTAGATGTGTGTATCATTTTTTTTTCTATTTAATCATGTGTGCATATTTCTTACAGTTCAAAAAAATATATATATGGCAGTTAGTGTAAAACATTCACTAATAATTATGTGGATTATTCAAACAGAAGAACTTCTCACACACATGAATTTGTTCTTAACTTTGTTCTTATGTTAATGAATTTGGAGTATCCTAAATCGGTGACCGCATGCTCGAGGCATAAGCATGTCTGCATTTTTATGCAGAGGAACCTCACAGCTGTACCCTTTCTTACTCTTTTAGTGTATGTGTATACATTATGAAATATATTTAAGATGAAATATACAGTAAGACGAATGATTCATTATGTTAAAAATGGAATCTTAACACATTTATAAGGCCTCCCAGAGTATGTTTTTTTTCATACATGTGGTTTCATTGTCTGTACATTTTTTCGTAAATTACAAAGGTTATTGTTAAAAGTTAATAAACGTATGGTGAAAAGCTGTGGATAGAGATAAGATAGCTACAAAATATGTGTGTGCAATGCAAAAACATGAAGCCTAAGGCTGAACTACTGAAACTTGCAACAGACAGTGGCAAAATGCTTTTATTTTTGTTTTTTTTAATAACTGAGTGTGTGTACATTTTTCTATGTTTGTCATAAGGATAATGGTAACAGTAAGAGACTGGGCCAAAAGTACTCAGCATAATTAAGATGGGGGCTCAGCACAAGTGCCCACTTGCATGAATGCAAGGACCCTGACAGTGGTCCAGAAAGAGCTGACGTCTGTTTAGCCCAGCTGATCATGAACAGGACCAGTAAACAAATGACAATAATATGAAAATAAAAAGACACTTACAAAAACTCACGCATAGCTACTGCAATGCATGAAAGCAAAACAGGTAGAAAAGTGGGCAAACAATCTGAAAGAAAAGAGAAAGCAGGCAAGAAATAAATGAAGCAGGACAGTAAGACAAGAACAAGCAACAGAAGTACGGAAATCAATACAGATAATGACAATAATAGCAGAGTGATTAAAAGCAGAGCTGTTCATTGTACCGTTTCCTGTTCACTACTGTCACACATACACACGGCACAAAAGAAAACAAGACTTTCAGCGCTCATTGTTCTCGACATCAGAGTTCTTCCAGTGACTCAGAATTCTGTCTGATTCCTGTTTGCAAATACACACACCTGATCAATAAATCTAGAGTATTTTCCAAGATTTGGTGTCAAATTTGAATGAATATAGTAATAAAGTATAATAAAGTATGTAAGAATGTAGAAAATGAGTGGGTGAATGAGTGAATTAATAAATGACTAAACAAGACATTAAAAAAAAGAAAATGATTGAGAGATAAAGTGAATAATTGAGGAATGAATGAATGTAAGCAGATGTTGGGTAATTAATGTGTCAATGAAACAGTCAAGTAAATGAAATTAATATATAAATAATTGAATAAACAAGTGAAATGTGTTGAGTGAATGAATGTGAGAAGGTGAATGAGTAAGACAAATAAGTGTATAAATGAATCTTGAGCAAGTGAATGAATCAAAGAGTGACTGAATGGGTGAGTGAATGAGAGTATAGACAAGTGAATGAATGAGTGAGGGAGTGGATGAATAGGTGAGTTTATAAGCAAGTACAATAATGACTGATTAAGTAGGTAAGTGAATAATTGAGTGACTGTAAGTGTGAATAAAAGTCAGTGTATAAATGTGTGTGAGATTGAGTGAGAGAGTGAATGAATGAGTGACTGACTGAGAAACAGTTCATGACAGGAAATTTAAGTAAGTCAATATGCTAGTGACTAAATTAATGAATGCATGAGTGAGTATGTGAGTGAGTGAATGAATAAATTGAATGAACGAATCAGTAAATGAAAATCCTGAATAATGAGTGAATTAATGAGAAGGAAATTATTATTGTACTTTAAGATCAAATGATTGAAGTGTAAATGAATGAGTGTATAAACAAGTAAATGAATGTAGCAAGAGTATAAACTAGTGAGTGAGTGAGTGATTCAATGAGTGAGGGTGAGAGTGAATGAATGGGTGGGTGGGTGAGTGAGTGAGTGAGTGAATAAACGAGTGAGGGTGAGAGTGAATGAATGGGTGACTGAGAAACAGTTAATGACTGGAAATTTAAGTAAGTCAATAAGCTAGTGACTTAATTAATGAATGCATGAGTGAGTATGTTAGTGAGTGAGTGAGTGAGTGAGTGAATGAATGAATGAATTAATAAGAACGGACAAATCAATGAATGCAAATCCTGAATAAGGAGTGAATTAATGAGAAGGAAATTATTGTATTTTAAGATCAAATGATTGAAGTGTAAATTAATGAGTGTATAAACAAGTAAATTAATGTGAGCAAGAGTATAAACTAGTGAGTGAGTGAGTGATTCAATGAGTGAGGGTGAGAGTGAATGAATGGGTGACTGAGAAACAGTTCATGACTGGAAATGTAAGTAAGTCAATAAGCTAGTGACAAAATTTATGAATGTGTGAGTGAGTATGTTAGTGAGTGAGTGAGTGAGTGAGTGAATGAATGAATGAATAAATTGAACGAACGAATCAATGAATGCAAATCCTGAATAATGAGTGAATTACTGAGAAGAAAATTATTATTGTATTTTAAGATCAAATGATTGAAGTGTAAATGAATGAGTGTATAAACAAGTCAATGAATGTGAGTGAGAGTATAAACGAGTGAGTGAGTGATTCAATGAGTGAGGGTGAGAGTGAATGAATTGGTGGGTGGGTGAGTGAGTGAGTGAATAAATGAGTGAGTGAGTGAGTGAATAAATGAGTGAGAGTGAGAGTGAATGAATTGGTGGGTGGGTGGATGAGTGAGTGAATACATGAGTGAGGGTGAGAGTGAATGAATGGCTGGGTGGATGAGTGAGTGAATACATGAGTGAGGTTGAGAGTGAATGAATGGATGGGTGAGTGAGTGGGTGGGTGAGTGAGTGAGTGAGTGAGTGAATAAATGGGTGGGTGAGTGAGTGGGTGAATAAATGAGTGAGGTTGAGAGTGAGTGAATGAATGGGTGGGTGAGTGAGTGAGTGAGTGAGTGAATAAATGAGTGAGGGTGAGAGTGAATGAATGGGTGGGTGGGTGAGTGAGCGAATGAGTGAGTGAATAAATGATTCGATGAGTGAGGGTGAGAGAGTGAATGAATGGATGAGTGTGTGATTGAGTGAGTAATTGAGTAATTTATTTGTATATGTGAAAAATGAGTATGTTAGTAAATGAGTGAGTGAACTAATGAGAGGCTCTCCTCATCTGTACTTTTGAATTTAGATTACTCTGATATCCAAGGCCAAATGTGTGACATTTATATTTTCTCCTCAAAAGAACTTTTGTGGAGTTGGAGGCAAATATTACAATAAGCAGGCCGCCCACAGTGTGTCTATATCTGAGGCCCGTGCCACATTCAGATCTGAAGCTTGGAGGCTTTACTTCACACAATCAGTGCGAGAACGCAAACAGAAGCAATGAGTCATGTGATTGTGTAAGCTTTCAGACAGTGAAGAAAGTCCCCTCTTAACAAGGCTGAAAGCAGTTGATTGTACTGCCATACACGAGGTCATAATAAACCATGGCATGAGAAATAATTTTCAAAGTTTGAGTTGTATATTTCATGGTGCAGTATGCATTTGACCAACAAAGGAGAAAAAAAGACATTCTTACTTGGATCTGATTTGGAAAATGTGTCCATGTCAAGCAGTTTTCTGTAAAAAGAAATGAAACAAAGAGTAATAAATATGCATGAAAACTATATGACAGACAGACATCTCTCTCTCTCTATCTGTGTGTGTGTGTGTGTGTACTGTTGGTGTTGGCACAAAAGGAGTAAAGGATTAAGGTAACTGAAACATTTTTTACATTCTCCTTCATAACACACATACTAATATACCTGCTACATTTTCATAAGAAATATTTGTATGTGGAAAAATGAGAAAGACTAAATCATACTATTGAACATACTCTGTAATATGAAATTATATGCAAAGAATTATATATATATTAACCAGTTGTATCTCACTTAAAAGTTTTATTCAGCAAGGATGCATTGTTGAAAAAAAGTGAGAGTTAAGACATTTTAAATGTTCTAATATAGTAAAGACAGTCCATTTCAAATAAATACTGTTCTTTTAAATTTTCTATTGATTGATTAATTGATTTTATTTCCCAGCAGTTCAGCTTATTCCTTGACTTTACACATCTAAAGCCTAACATGCAGCACATTGGTCCACTTGTGTCTTTTATTTAACAAATGCTGTTCATGAGAGCTAAAAATATTAGTATCAAAAGCAGGCAAAAATATTTACTAATATTAATTATTAAATAAATTGTTTTATTTATTACTGTGATATGTTTTAAAGGGTTGTGTATATATCTTAGCTGTAATGCCAAGATACAATCCTGTGTTCAAAGTGACGTTGATCGTGCAAAGCGGGTTCCCCCTCGGGGAAAACCCCTTGGCCCTGAGCCACCTCTGCAAGGGTTTCATGTACAGCAGGCCAAAAGGTATCACGTTGGGCGCAGCTGCCATCAGATCCAACAGTCTCTAAAACTGTTTGACAGTGAATGACTGGCCTTCTCTCACTCCCCTCACGGCTGTGAGAATCGCTTCGATACGGGCAGGGGACAACTGTGCCTGCATCGTTGTTGAATCCCACACCACGGCCAGATAAGTGGTCCTCTGTAGTGGAGAAAGCACACTTTTCTTGGCATTTAGCCGTAACCCCAGCTCTTTTATATGGGAGAGGATGACATCTCGAGCCAAGCCGCCATCTGCTCTGACTGAGCTAGAATCAACCAATTGTCGATGTAATTCAGTATGCGGATGCCCTGGAGTCGCAACGGAGCCAGGGCAGCATCCACACACTTTGTGAAAGTGCAGGGTGAGAGTGACAGGCCGAATGGAAGAACCCGATACTGGTATGCTTCGCCCCCCGAAAGCAAACCTCAGGAACTTCCTGCGTTGAGGAAGGATGGATATGTGAAAGTATGCGTCCTTGACATCTATCATGACAAACCAGTCCTCTGACCTGATTTGAGACAAGATCTTTCTGATAGTGAGCATCTTGAACCGAAACGTTTGATAGCGTGGTTCAAAAGACGCAGATCTATGATCGGACGCAACCCCCCATCCTTCTTCGGAACGATGAAGTACCGGCTGTAGAACCCTGACTCTCTCGAGAGAGGAGGAACACGTTCTATGGCCTCCTTTCTCAAGAGAGTGTCTACTTCTTGTTCCAAAACCAGAGCCTGCTCGGGGCCTACTAATGTAGGAATGACCCCGTTTAAGCGATGTGGACGAGAACCGAACTGAATTCTGTAACCTCTCTCTACAGTGTGCAGGACCCATTGTGAGACATTTGACAGAAGTTTCCACGCTATCAGAAAGTCTACTAAGGGAACCAGTCTCTCGACCAGTCTTTCTTCGGTGCCCTGAAGCAGATGACCGGCAGGGAACAACTGACCTGACTGCTCTAGCGCCCTCAATTGAGGGGACAAGCTTTCCCATGCCGTACCGTCGCCGGGCGGCAGCTGGGAAATTCGCTCATCGGAGCTCACTGAGCCCTGAAGCATCGGGGGTGGCAGGGCTATCAGTAAAGCTCCCTGAGGGCATTGAGGAGGATCGGGCACCCTATACTGAGGTGTGTACCTCTACTCCCCAGGGTGGGCTGCCCTCAGAGTCCTGACGATGGAATTAGTCAGGACCGCTTGGCCGAGGTCCTCTTCGACAGAATAACGGTCCACCGATCCGCTTTCTGCTAAGAGGACCCCGACCGAGAGCACCGCGCCGCCCACGACGCTCTGCTTCTGGGTCTTGTGATATGAGGAGCTGGACGGCTGGGACTGCTCCCGCTCAGCAGTCCCAAAGTCCTGGGAACGGCGAGGGAGGAAGCGCTGGAATGCCGCCGCCTGCTTCTTCACCTCCTGAAACGTCTCAACGACAGTGTCTACTGCGCCGCCGAAGAGGCCAGAAGGCAATAGCGGGGCATCCAGCAGGAAGACTCTGTCCTTATCTTGTAGCATGGACAGATTCAACCACAGGTGCTGCTCCGTGGCCACCAAAGTTGCCATTGAACGAAGCGACAGGTCTGTGGCCCGACGCAGTTCGGCGACTAAGTCGGATTCCTCTTCCCCCCCTATCATCCAGGTCTTTTAGCAGTTTGGCCTGGTACGCCTGCAACACCGCCATAGTGTGCAGACACGCATCGGCCTGATCTGCCGCCTTATAAGCTTTCCCAACCAGGCTGAATGTCAGCTTTACTGGCCTGGTGGGAAGCTTTGGGGCCTTCAGGGATGATGCTGAGGACGGGGAGAGATAGCTTGCGAGCGTCTGCTCCCCCGCCGGCATCGCCCCATATCCCTTCTCATTCAGCCCCATAATGTTAGAGTAGTTCTATACAGTGGGTACGATAACAGCCGCCGCTGTGCCAACAGCGGGGCTGGACCCAGTAGGATCGCGAACCTGGTCGCTTTCAACGAAGACGGCCAGGCGGGAGCGGAGCACACGGAGCGGGAGAAGATCACAATCATGACAGTCAGCCCCCTTGAGAGCTGACTGTGCATGCTCCGCTCCCAAACAGACGACGCACAAATCGTGTGTATCCCCACCCGAAATATAGCGTGGGCAGGGAGGAACACAAGACTTGAAAAGACTTTTGACATTTTCTCTGGACTGTGCTTAATACTTTCTTTCTTTCTTCTTTTCTCACACACACACACACACACACACACACACACACACACACCACATACGCGCTCGCTGAAGAGCAAAAGCTAAAATGTGCGCTTGCCGGATGCGCTTTTATACTTCCTGGTTGCTCACGTCACCCCGCTCGTGACGTCTCGCTTCTCTATTGGACTGATTTCATTCATGCTTCAGAACGTGGTCTCGCCGGGGCGTTCCCAAAGCGTTTCGACGCAGCTCGAGTTCCTGAAGGGGAACTGACAGCCATTGAAGACCTAGTTAACTAGAGAATCAACCACCACAATAATTATTCACACCGATCAGCCAGATAGAGTGAAGTAACATATGCAGAGATTCTAAACATATAAAACATAAACATAGTCTTAAAGGTACAGTATCCTGTAAGTGTCAGTGTATGTTTACATGACAACGATGTACTAAAATGGAAAACAGGCCAGTAGTTGGTGATGTCACTTTGTAAACAATCACTTTATGTCTGTGCACATATAAACTGAACATGTAATATGCATTTGCATGACGTCACTGTTTTCACAAATTCACGTTTTTTGTAGTTTACACAGAGACAATTATGGTATCGTTTTCAAAAATGTGCACTTTGAAATGTGTTTTCAAAAGTTTACATTTTCAGGCCAACAAAACACTGTTGTTGTGTAAATAAAACGTTAAAATGCATAGGGGCCTACTAGGGATGCAGCGATTAACCAGTTTCACAATTAACTATTGTTAATTAACTTTAAAATGTCACAGTTAATTAATCATAAAGCCTCCGCTACACAGAGTGTTTCTGTTGCACAGAACGGAACAGTTGCAACGTGCGCAAAACGAAAACAAAGTTACACTAGCGGTGCACCAGCGTGAGCTTAAGTGGTTAAAATAGTTTAAAGCCGTGTATTCACTCTTTAGCAGCAGTTTTTACGGCAATATTTAAATGACACCCTGGTCAATCTTGGTGTACCCAAAATGTAAATAATGTACAAACTGAAAACACTAAATACTTTTGTGATCTATTTTCAATAGTTATTTTCAAAATGGAAATACTGACATGGATGTTTACAGAGCAGAGGTCACCTTTTTAATTCCAATTGGAGAGATGGACTTTTGTTTGTCTTTATTATTATTATTTTGTGCTGTATTATTGGTTACAGTGTTATTTCTCTTTCTAAAGTCAGCAATAAATAACACTTTTTTATCTAAAGAGTGTCCATGTGATTTTATACATTAATAATTTTGTGAAATGAATAAATGCATAATAATCGTCATAATCGTAAAACCGTGATTATTCCTGACAATAATCGTACCAACAAAATCTATAATCGTTGCATCCCTAGGTCCTACAAAGTTTTCCGCTTTTAGTTGAAAACGGTGTTGTGTAAACCCCCTCAGAGAGAGGCTAGAAATTAGGCTTGAAAACTAGAATTATAAGTGGAGAGGGAAATATAAACAGTGCAGAATATAGATGCATTAAGGTAGACGGTCAAGGTAAACTTGGCACGTGCAGCAGGGAAGATCTGACGTTTCGCATCTGGGTTTTAGTAACTGTGCATTAGTGCAGGTTGTGAGGTAAATTATTGTGTCAGTGGTGGGCTCTGAAAGTCTGCCCTGTCCTCTCTGATAAAATCTTGAGTTTAGGGCAGAGGTTTTCTGTTCCAAGAGGATGAAGAGATTGTGCTGAGGAACTGGAAATAAAGTCTTTCTGATCTAGAGCTTATACACAGCCGTTCCATTATGAGGACATGCTTAGTATATCCCTTGACAAGCAGAACAAATCCCTGGGATTGTCTGGGACTTCTATTTAGTGTCTTATGTACTCCCCTTCTCTCTCTGTCTCACCTGTTGCCTTTCCTAAAGGAATCTTCCGGATTATTTTCATCATAATACATATGGACAGCATCAGTCTGTCAGCATAACGTCCCTTGGTGTTTATTAGCACACTGAAAATATATTTACTGTAAATATAATGGAATTTTAGCAGACAAGCGGGCAATAAACATGCATGTGAATGCA